GATGCAGTCTATGTGAGAGCAGTACTGGGGATTGGGTCCCGTGTCCTGAGCACACATATGTGGACGGTTTAGCTATTGAGCTATACTGTTAGTGCACCTCAATCCTACTGTAAATCAGTTCTACTTGAATACAGAAAACTCCTCAATTTGAAAGAATAGGGATTAAAATACCTAATCATGGACTGCACCCCAGATACGTCCCAATAAGCATAAGAAACATGAAAAATCAAAGCAATGTGAGTTGATCAGAAAATAATTCATTCTACAGTAGTGAATTCCACTGCAAGAGAGGTATGTGGAATCTCAAATAACAGAATGATTGTAAGAATGTTCAATAAAGTCAAAGATGACAAAAGTAAACTGAATGATTTCAAAGAAAAATAATCAGCTGAACAAAATAAGACAATATAGGATTAGAAAGGGAAATTCAATAAAGAAATAGAAACCCTGGGGCTGGAGAGATGGCTTGTCCTGCATAAAGCCTGGAGTTCATATACCCAGAATCTACGTAAATGCTAGGTGGGCATGGTGGGCCACCTGGAATTCCAGCCTGGAAGGAAGGCAGAGAGGAGGTGCTCAGAGCAGCTGCCTAGCCAGACTCACGCAGGTGAGAGCTGGGTTTGAGTGGGACGATGCCTCAATGAAAATGGCCAAGAGTAGTTGAGGATGATTCCTACATGCTCACATAAGTGCATGCTCACTCGCACACAATGCAAACATGTATATACATAGGCATATCCAACACACACACATGCATGAAAATGAGGGAAACAGACATAAAAAATAGGAATTTTAGAAAACCTCAACACTGTCAAAAAATTCAGTGGAAATTCTCACTAATAAAACAGATCAAATGAAAGACAGAACACGGGGTCCTGGAAACAAGGTAGATGAATTAAAACAGGCAAAAAAAATAAGAACATGTGAGATCTATGGGACAACATCAAAAAGCCACGGTGAAAGGACAAGAACCAACACCCAATGATGTCCACAAGGCCACACTCACACTCAATGCACAATCACAGACATCCACAGAACACACGTAGATGCCTCCACTGAGATATTTTAAAGAAGAAAAAAACATAGCAAATATTGCTGTTTGTAGAAAAGGGAATCTTTATACACTGCTGATGAGAATGTAAAGCAATTCAGCAAATATAGAAAAAACTAAAAACAGAACTGCCATATTGGTTCAGTGATCCCACTCCTGGCAATATACACAAAAACTTCAAACCAATATACTACAAAGAGACCCCTTACGCTCATGTTTATTGCATCACTACTCACAACAGCCAGCTTTTGTAATTAGCCTAAGTGTACATTAACAGGTAAACAGTGGAGGAAATGGAACACATATACAAAATAGTTTTGTTTAGCCATAAAGAATGAGACTATGGTGGTGGCGCTGGGGAGACTGTCAGTAGGTTAAGTGTTTGCCTGCATTTGTGAAGATCTGAGCCAGGACTCATGTGAAAGCTGGGCCCAGTGGTGCCCGTCTCCAATCCCAGTGCCCCACAGTGAGATGGGAGAACACAGGAGAATCCCCAAAAGCTACTGGTACAACAAAGAGACCATGACTCCAAAGAAGGAAGGCAAGGACTGACAGTGAAGGTTGTATTCTGACTTTCATACTCCTGCCTGCACTCACGTACACACCATAAATACATCCACTGCGCAAGTGTGCGCATACATACACATATGCATACACACACACACGTATGAAATACTGTCATTTGCCTTGAAATGGTACAACTGAAGATCACTATTATTATTATTATTATTATTATTATGTAAAAAAACCCTGACCAAACAAGAAAAGTATTATTGTTTTCTCTCATATGTGGATCCTAGCTATTACAGATGAAAGCATTTACATCTGTAAATGAGTGTGTGTGACATGAAGTAGGAGTATCTTAGAAAAGGAAGGGGACAAGTAGGAGGGGAAGAAAGTAAAGGATTTAAAAACAGTAAATATGGTCAAATATATACTTATAAAGTATTTATGAAATCCATTATAATGACTTTACATATAAATATGCCTCTGCAGCTGATCTACTGGGAGCTCACCAACGCCAGCTGGACTGTGACTGAAAAAGCATGGGATAAAACTGGACTCTCTGAACATGGCGAACAATGAGGGCTGATGAGACGCCAAGGACAATGGCACGGGGTTTTGATCCTACTTCATGTGCTGGCTTTGTGGGAGCCTAACCAGTTTGGATGTTCACCTTCCTAGATATGGACAGAGGGGGGAGGACCTAGGTCTTACCACAGGGCAGGGAACCCTGACTGTTCTTTGGACTGGAGAGGGAGGGGGAGAGGAGTGGGGGGGAGGGGGAGAAGGGTGGAAGGAGGAAGAGGGAAATGGGAGGCTGGGAGGAGGTGGAAACTTGTTTTTTTTTTTTTTTTTAAATAAAGATAAAAAAAAAGAAACAACAGGTTAGGATCACTTTGAGATATCTTTGTGAAAGTTGAAAAAAATATATATATGCCTCTGCCTCCGGAGTGTTATGGTTAAAGGTGTGTACTACCACGCCCATCTAATAAAAATAATTTTTACAGTCACCCCCATAAACATTCTCAGTACAAAATCCACAGGGGTGATACATAAAACAAACAGGAAAGTTAGACACAAGCTTGAAACATTTATAACTCTAAGTTAAAATAGTGGTTGTTCTTGATAATAATCACCTTAAATTAACAGGTAACTACATCTACAAAATACCGAGATTATTTATTATTATTTATTATTATACAGATTAAATATTAGGAACTATAGCCTGAGTAGACATATTACTCATCACTCATAGATTCTATTAAATATTCCTTTCAACCCTAGAAAAATCCTTTTTAAAAGAACATTTTATTTTCTGCTTTGAAGAAATGTCAACTTTCAGCTCGGCAGACATAGTTAATCAGGAGAACTGTTACTTTTTGGAGGGACTATTTACAGAAACTAAACAAAACTCTACACTTTCTGTTCCTACAGAACAAGATCATTCTTAAGAAGTTCCAACATCTTCAAGATCATTCTTAAGATGCTCAACATCTTATCTACATGTTAGATACAATGTTTCAAACACTATATTCAATTTAAAAACAGAAACCACACATTAAAAGTGCACCTCGGAGAGATATATTCTTACCTTCTTACAAATGGTTTCAAACAAATTCTGTTGCATTTAAACATAAGATAAACACTTTCCTTCTCCGTGCTCCAGCCATTCATTAAGCAGGTACTATGTAGCAGGTGCTGTTTAAAGAACCCGAGCTAAATCACTGAGGAACATGATGGCTCCAGTCTGGGCGGAGCTCATAATCTGGCAAAGAAACACCCTTAGCCAGCTGTTTTCTCTCCAAACGTGACAACTGGAGTGTTAAAAATTGTGAAAAGAGTTTCGAAAATCTGTGTGTTGGGCAACTTTCAGTTTTGAGTGTGACCTTCTTAGGACACCCTGTCTGATTATTAGCATAGAGGTCCTGGGTCCAAATCCTGGTGTTGCCATTTCCTAGACTGACCTTGGCAAAGAAGCTTAATCCTCATCTGTAAAACAAAATAACCCTAACTACCCTACTGGGTTACACAGGAAAATGAGCAAGGAATGTGTGAAACGGCAGGAAATACGAAATTATCAGCTACTATTTCAACCCAATTTCCAGAAAACCAGACAGCACTCAGGCAAAAATGGGGATAAAGGTACCGCTTAGGACATTTTCATCTGTCACAGATAGTTCCTGCCCACTTTAATATTCCAAGAGTCCTTTCTCCAGCAAGTCATTTTATGTGCGTCAGTGTCTACAAAGAGGGTAAGTTTGCATATCTCCTTCATAACATCAACTCATTATGGGAATCGAATAAACATGGCGTCAAGAGGCTTTAAAGCCATAAAGAGAAAAATTTAATACCTGTGTGGTCGGTGTCTGCCTGAATTGCCAGCATCTGGGAGGCCTGACACACGAGGATCATAAGTTTAAGTCCAGCCTGAGCTACATAATGAAAGTCTGTCTTTAAAGTTTTTTAAAGTCAAAATTAGGCTAATTTTCTCTAAGATGACAATAGCAATTATCTGAGGGAAAACAGCAAAATAAAACAAGACTCAATTCCTGGATTCAACAACGCTTCAATGTGCAGGCAGCGAGCTGGGGCTCTAGAACCCACATTACCTTTCTTTGCATTGGTCAATACTCACGAGCGGAAATTAACTCTTAAACTGGATAATGGCAGATAGTAAAATACACAATCCCAGTTATCTGAAATAGATTTCTCATACTTGTTAAAAGGGAAGTCGTTTAAGGGTTGTAAAGGACTCACCAACCTCAGAAGGGCTAATGTCCACAAACTGCAAGTGGAAGCTATACAGTGCAAAACTTGCCGACGCCAAAGCCATGCTAATAAAATTGCCGACGACCAGCAAAACACACTTTCAAAGCTGCTTTGGAAGGATCAAATTTGCTGAAGCGCAATACAGGATACATTGCAAACCTGTGGGTTTTCCCACAACTTTGACGGAGGGATGGTGAGGCACGTTAATGTGCTGGTACCGTAAACTACCTCACTCCGCAGGACAGATTCTAACCCTGACCCTCATCTTGGGGTGAAAGCCTCTAACGGTATGCCTCTCTGGAGCGTGGGGCCCGACTACAAACAAGGCGATAAGAAATGGCCCGCCAGTCCCACAGGCGAAACTGTTGGTTATTTTGGAAAGGACACCCGGACTAGCAAGGACGGACGGAAAAGCAGGGCGTTAAGAACCACAGCGCGAGAGGGTGAAAAGCGGTGCCAGGGGGAGCGAGGTCTGCCAGGACTCCTGAAGGACCCGGGACAGGGGTGACCTCTTTCGAGCGGCTCCGGCAAGGGGGTGCTGACGACTCCCGCCTGCAGGAAGGAGGCCGCCACTCGCCGTGCGCGGCGCGCCCCGCTGCCGTCAGACCCACGCCCGCGGTGAAGGTGCCCTCCGGCCCCCTCCCGGGGCCCCACGGCCAACAGGGACCCAGGCTACCTCTCAGGATGTGGGAGGGGGGTCTCCACGGAATCCCGCCGAACGGGCCGGAAGACGCTGCCTCGCCAAGGCGACCCGGCCGAGCGTGGGGCAGGGTGCCGTGTCGCAGGACTCAGGCCAGCGCTAGGCCTCCACCGCCCTGGCCAGCCGCGCCCACTAGCAACGTGCTCCGATCCTCCGTGCCCGCTCGCAGGTCCACAGGGCACGCCGCCGCGCTAGGAACCATGGGACTCGTAGTTCCGGCGCGGAGGAAAAAACGCTCCAGGGTCTGGCTCTCCAGTTACAAAACCCGGGCGCACTCCCCGGAAGTGACGTAACAAGGCACGCGTGGCGCCGGCCGGCGTTTCCGCAAACAGAATCGTGGATGTCTGTGTGGGTGAGTGTGGCGTTCGGCGTTCTGGCCTGTCTGTCCTTGGTTCTTTGTCTTTAGCGCGCCTAGAGCACAGCCAGGCCGAATGCCCGCACGCCTGGCTGGGTTCGTTTTCCTTCTGCCTCCTCCCTCCCGTCCCTGCCTCGTGGGGTTTATTGTGCCCGTAGCCGGAAGCAGTGTGAACGGTGCTTGTCTTGAGACGGTGGGCGCTGTTGCTCCTCCTGACCACGCTGGTCCAGGGAGGAGAAGCTCCGGTGCTTCTGTTCTGGCCGAGGGGCTGTGCTGAGGCTGTGATGGGCCGGGTGTGGTGGTGGGAGGCAAAGATGGTTTGTTCTGTCCGGAGCAGTGCTGTAGGAACCTGAACCAGAGGTTGAGTAACAGCTGGGCCAGGGGTGGGGGTGGGGACAGATGAAGCAGTGGAGAACTGCTTGCCCTCTCCCCCTTTCTGTTTAATTGATTTGTACCCTGGCTCTAGACAATCAAGGTGGTTCGGCGAGGTCATGCTTGCCCGTTAGCTAGCAGGCAGAAACTGGGATAACCAAGAAAAGTGATATACTTTAGGGGCGTAACCAAATATATATATATATATGGAAGGTCATAGCCTTTGCATACCCCAACAAACGTGTTTCTGCCACTTCAGTAAAGCAATTAAAAGAGCCTAGTTAATAATGAAAAGCAGAAAAAGGAGGCTTACTCTGTGTGACACGTTGGGAAGCAGCACCGAGATATCCGTATGATAACCATTCCATCTTTGTGGGTCCTGAAATGAGGGTGAGGTCTAAATAGGGGGCAAGAAAAATGCAGTCTGGCCAAGGTATGGTCCCACCTACGTTTCCCATCTTTTCCCCTTTCTGTAAGGTGTTCTCACTCTTTTGCCCGCCTGGCTTCTTTCCCTTGTCTCAGCATAAGATTCCTAGAGGAAATAGTCATTGATATTCTCTCTTTCTATCGTCTGTGCCTCTGCTTCGTGTGCCACCCCCTCCCCCGTGTTCATTGTTTCAACAATTTAATAGATCAACACACCTTGGTATCTCTTTAGAATATCTTGATTTCTGTGAGGCAAGTTAGTGTGATTGCAGCCAGGTCAAAATACCCATCTCCACGTTGGTCTACTGTTTACCATAAATTCTTCTCTGTCGTTCCATCGTGATATCTGTCTTTCAAGTATTTTTATTATTATCATTGATGTTTTATTATTATAATTATTGCTGCAAAGCTAAGTCTTAAAGCTAGAGCCTATAGAATACTCTTGTGAACCAGAATTCCTAGAAGGAAGCTGTGCCTACTAAGCTCTCGACTGATTTTTAGAAATGGAGTGCTTCGGATAAAATGGAATGTTGCCGGTCCAGATCCTGCGGGTCTTCGCCCATCTCTAGCCTCCTTACTAGCCACTCTGCTCTGTATGCGACCTAACATTTTGTGACCATTAGGTATATCTTTAGGAATGTATACACAGACCTTTGGTTCTGACCAACTAAAAGGCCAAGGATTCTGTCAGATAGCACTTGGGTCCTATAGCTGAGATTTCCTTTTCTGTGACCCACCTACCTGGTATTTCCACCAATGTATTTGAGATTTAGGATTCTCTTCTGTTACTATAAAATTTGCTGGAACTGTTAGCATGTTAGAACATGGAATTTGAGTAACCTAAATCAGTGTCCCTTAGCCACTGTCACACAAATTTGGCTCCAGAATAAACTATCTCCTATCCTCTTTGAGATAAGAGCTATTGCTTTCTTGTATATCAAATAAAGTACTCTATAATTGAGTTGTTTAATACATAAATCTAGACATTCATAACCATTTTGTAGGTTTTTTTTTTTTTTTGATTTTTCGAGACAGGGCTTCTCCGTAGCTTTTTGGTTCCTGTCCTGGAAGTAGGTCTTGTAGACCAGGCTGGCCTCGAACTCACAGAGATTCGCCTGCCTCTGCCTCCCGAGTGCTGGGATTAAAGGTGTGCGCCACCACTGCCCGGCTTCATTTTGTAGTTTTGAATGCTTTTATGATAGCTAATCTGTGGAAGTATAGACTGTCTGAAAAAAATTCACCCTTAAATACCAATTCTAATTTTAGGCAATAATTACAGCTAATGATAACATTTTGCATGGTAAAATAAGTAAAAATAGACATTAAGTGGCAGAGGAGAAGTAGAGTTTTCATAATTGGATGAGTAATTTTTCTTGATACTGATTTGTAGTAGTTACTCTGTAACTGATCTTCCTAGTTGGTTTGTTTTTATTCTCTAGTTCAGTTGTTCCTATGTAACATGTTTTGGTATTCTGTTACTTTGAGTCAATACCGAAAAGTTAGTGACAACGAATGTTCTGAAATCCTTCCCAGTTTCCAGTGAGTCATTTTTTACCTGTTCATGTAACTACTGTTGTCTTTCTTTATGCAGAAGACCTTTAAAAATGATTTACCTCTTTTACTTTTCTAGTGTTGTCATAAGACACTGACCGGGACAATCTTTTAGTAGAGTTTATTTGGGGCTTATAGTTTCAGAGTCCATGTCAGGGACATAGAAGCAGGCAGGCAGGCAGGCAGGCATGGTGCTGGAGCAGTAGCTGAGAGTTTACATTGATTCAGAACCATGTGACTCAGGATGGAGAGCAATGGAATCAAATCCCTTAAATAAAAATTTATTTACAATAAAAAAAAAAAACAGAAGCACAAGGCAGAGTACTATGTCTGGGCATGGCCTGACTTTTGGAACTACAAAGCCCACTCATGGTGATGTGACCTCCTCCATCAAGGCCACACTTTCTAATCCTTCCTAAACTGTGACACCAACTGAGATTAAGCATTTGAATATATGCACCTATGGGGGCCATTCTCATTCAAACCACTACATGTCTTCTTTAATTTTAGAACTTGAAATTTCATGGTCTCTCCTTTTTTTTTATTTTTGATTTCCCTTTTCATTTCTTTTAGTAACACAGCTTGATAGTTTAGTAGAAGTGTTTAAGCTGTGAATTTAGTGACTATAGTTCACATTACACTTCTTTGTAGTTCTAGTTCTGCTTATTGAAGGAGCTCTAAGGAGGCCATTAACAATTCCCTTGTAACAGATGACCTCCTTCCCCCCATTTTACACAGATGCCTTGGCGCATATTTGAAGCATCTTAATGGTCATTACGCTGAAGACTGAATCTTAAAGCTGTTCTAAATCTGTTTCCACTCTTCACTTTCTGTACAATTACAGGCTTCATTATTAAATAAGGATTTCAAGAATCTTAGCTTCCTGTATTATTTTTTGCATAGATTACCTAAGAGAGCTACTTATAGAAAGGGAAAATTTAAGGTGGTGGCGCACGCCTTTAATCCCAGCACTCGGGACACAGAGGCAGGCGGATCTCTGTGAGTTCAAGGCCAGCCTGGTCTACAAGAGCTAGTTCCAGGATAGGAACCAAAAGCTATGGAGAAACCCTGTCTCGAAAAATCCAAAAAAAAAAAAAAAGAAAAGAAAGGGAAAATTTATTTTAACTCATGATTTTGGAGACTTCAGCCCATGCTACTTGATTTTGGTGATGTGGAGCCTATGGTAAGGCAGGCTGTTACGCTGGTGCGTGTGTGTAAAGGAGGAGGCAGTTTACATCATGGTAGTCAAGTGGTAATTACTGACAACTAGGCATAGTTTACATCCATTCTCCAAACAGCCCTTACCTCCCTAAAGTCTCTGGAACCCCCAGAATAGTGCTACTAGCTGAAGACCAACCAAGCATTCAACACATAAGCCTGTGGGGGAGTTTCACAAACAGCAGCAGTACCTGTGCTCCAGCCTCAAAGTCTGATAATGGAAATGCACATAGTTCACTCTTAGTACCTAGCGTTAGCAATTCCAGTGCTGTTCTAAAGTCTACACGCCAGGTCTCTTGACACTCGGGGCAGGCCCTTTGCTGTGAGACAAATGACATGGTAATGCATGTGGGAACCCAAAAGATAAGACTGCCAGCAGGAGCATTTTACAGCGAGCCAGGCTTACAAGATCTCAGGGAACAAGGATGCTTTGGGGGATCGGCCGTTCATTCATACGCTCTGGTAGAGAATTTGAAAAGATTTGTTCCTGCGGTGAAACTTTGTCTTAGGCTAAGTTTAAAGCTAACAGACTAATTAACCTAGTGGAAGGAATGTCAGCATTCAAGCTGTTGTATGCTTTTTTGGTTTTGCTTTTTGAGATGCGGTGTCTCACTGTGTAGCCCTAGCTGCCTGAAACTATGTAGCCTTGGCTCTAACTCACAGAGATCCTTTGATCTTTACCAGCCAAGTGCTGGGATTAAAGGCACATAAAACTGTTCTCAGCTTGTAGCATGGTTATCAGTAACTACTTTTGAATAGCTTTACAGTGAGAATTAAGAGCAGAAACCTGAAGTTTGATAAAGTTATCTTGTTACAACATACTAGGTCCACATATACATATTGTTTCAAAGTCTTCCCTCAGATCTGCAACACATTGTCAAGTAGTCACGTGTGGCAACCCCACTTCTCTGGTATTAGTCTTAGTAACTTTTGCATCACTGTGATGCCAGAGAAAGCAATTTAAGGAAAGCAGGATTACTTTGGCTTGTATTATTTGAGTTTCAGTTTGTGATTGCTTGACTCTTGTACTTGGGGCAGAATATCATGGCAACAGTAGTGTGTGAGCAAGGAGCTTCGTTTTATAGTGATGGACAGGAGGCAGAGAGGCAGTTGTCATGGATGGGCATAACCCTCACTGGTATCTCTCCAGTGACCTACTTCCTCCAAACTAGTCCTCATGTACTACTATATATTTATAATTTCATATTATGCATATATAAGCACTTTTTAGTCCTGGTGTGTATAAGCTTTTGGCATGATGAAACAATGCCATCTACAAAGTTCATGTTTGAGATTTTCACCAAACAGTTTATAATTTTTGTGTTGGATCACATTTCTAGCTATAACGAATGACCATAAGTGGTACTGGACCATAGATAGGTTAGACAGAACTGCATGACTGAAATTGTTTAAACTCCTAAGACTAATAACCAAGTTGATCAAAATTATCATGGAGTCTTAGCATTAGTGTTTATAAATAATACCTTTTATTTATTTTTCTTTTTGGACCATTCCGGTGTTGATTGATGAAGTTTTGCTGTCAGTTCAAGTAACCTGAAATGGAAAGCTCTGCAAAAACAGAAAAATATGAAAAGATGTCTTTTGACAAGGCAAAAGTGTCCATAGATTCTGAAACAGAATCTCCTCCAAGTGTTAACGAATCCATTGCTGCATCTGGGCCAAGGCTTTCTGAGAAGACTGCTACATGCCAGCCAAAAGTCAGGAAAGAGTTTGAAGGTGGTCTTGTGGAGGAAAATTCGAGTTGTGTGGAGGACTCCCCATCTAAGAAAAGAAAACTCGATGTTGAAAATGAGGAAAAATGCTCTGATGATGATGGAGGTGTTTCAAAGAAAAGGAAACTGGAAGGGGGTGATGTTTCCGAAGATGAGCCTTCCTCTGGAGAGATCACCCAGAGAAAGAGAAAACTACAGTCCGAGGACGTTGCAGAAAAGCGGAAAGTATGCTTTGTGTATTTTATTTGTAATTCAGTGCTCTAATCACAAGGGTGGTACAGCTGTGGATATGTATGTATGTGTGTATGTATGGATGTGTATGTGTGTATGTAAGATATGTATATATCTTAAGGCACAATGGACTCTTAACTTTTAAAATTAAAATTTGTTAAGGTGAAAGTTGTACTATGATCATTTTTATTTTAGAACTGTTATTTTAATCAGAACCTTGAAAGCTAGTTTAATAAAAAGCAAACTATAGAATATTTTTTTTAAAGATGGCAGTATGTGGTTCACTTGATTTATTCTTTTTTCTTCTTTTCTCTTTTATTTAAAAATTTATTTATTTTATGTGAATTGGTGTTTTGTCTCAATCCATGTCTGTGTGAGGGTGTCGGATCCCCTGGAATTGGAGTTCCAGACAGTTGTGAACTGCCCTGTAGGTGTTGGGACTTGAACCTTGGTCCTTTGGAAGAGCAGCTAGTGCCCTTAACCCAGAGCCATCTCTCCAGTCGCCCCATTTTTGTTTTCATTTTTTAAATCAGGTGTTTCAAGTTGCCTGATGATCACTTAAAGTACTAAATGTCAGAGTTGTGCCCAGCTTTCTTCAGTTCCGAGCTGTAGTTGTTTCCAGCTTCTAGTCGGTTTACATAGTTATTTAGTGTAATTTTGGTTACCTTGAAAAGGCTGGTGTGAAGCAAATGCTAGCAAACATTTACCACATTGGGAAGGATTCTGAGGCCAAATCTGCTACTAGAGACAAAGAATACTTAAATAACAGTAACATTTGCTATGGGCCTGAAGAAGAAAGTAACAAGCCAGGCTTTTACCAGACAAGTGAGATAATAGGTTAAACTTAGGTTTGGAAACTTAAACTGGCAGGTTTTTTTTTTTTTTTTTTTTCAAGTAAAAATTTACCCTTAAATTTGACCTGTGAAGTAAGTAAAGATGCGCTTTGAACAGGGCGATGGCAAGTGCTGGAGTCCTTTACCCACTATGAATTGTTATAGAAATCCAGGGTTTTACTAAATGCAGGTAGAAAACTGTTGGTTAGAGTAATGATGAGTACTAAGTCACTGATATTGAGTGTGACTACTAAATTCTAACTTCCCAAATGTATGCATTATATAATCATAAGAATAATTCCTACTGAATTATTTACTGAATTAATTACTGAAAGTGTAATAGCTTATTTTTCTTTCTTTTAGGAAGTTGATCCATCGACTGCAATTTATTGTTGAATAAATTAGAACTCTGGAAAAAGAGTAGTTTCCTTAGAACATGTGGTCTTAAATTATATATTTCATGATGAAGACCTTAAGGAATCAGGGAAACACCACTTAGGTGTGGTAGTAGTTGCTGTATTTCTGTGAAATTCCCTTCAGTTGTGTTTGTCCTTCTGTCAGGTGGTTACAGGGCTTTTGCTTGCTTTCTAGGTCTTGCTCTGACCTTTGACTTTTGTCCTTTTGGTTACAGAAGCTGGAGGAAGGACACAGCTCTGCCGTTGCTGCCCACTATAACGAGCTTCAGGAAGTGGGTTTGGAGAAGCGCTGTCAGAGTCGCATTTTTTACCTAAGAAACTTTAATAATTGGATTAAAAGTATCCTTATTGGTATGATTGTTTTCTACCCTTTAGTTAAGAGATTTAAAATTTCATTGAATTACGTTTTACAGTGCTGGACATTGAAGCCAAGGGTCTATGCATTGGCGTGCTCTACTAAGCTGATCCACAGTCCATTTCTTTGCTTTTTTCCCTCCCATTTTTAATCATATAGTAAGCTTCAAAGGCTATTATTTGTTTTTCATTTTGTTGGCTTTTAAAAGCGAGGTAGCCAAAAGTAGGCCTCCAGATAAGTTGTTGTTTGCTTTTGGTTTATTTTATGGGGTATTAATGATGTTTAGTTGAATAGTAAGTTAAACAGGCTTTCATTTGGCGGTGTGCTTCTTTGTACTTATAGTCTATGCTATTTGAAGCTGTTATATAACTGTCTTACTCTAATAGTTTTAGTGCGGTGGCTCATGGGAGTGAACATCGCGTTTTGTTATGTCAGGAAAGAAAGTGTTACTCTGACTCCACCTATAAGCTTTAGTGAGTTGGCATCACTTATCATAGAGCTTGTTTGTCTCTTGTGATTTCTTGGGGAAATAATGTTTCCTTTGATGTTGATAAAGACATACAGCGTTGGAGCTGACATGTCTATATGGAAGCTCACCTTTAAAATTAAAATGGAAATAAGTAGAGAAAATATGATTTAGAATGTAGTATTGTTTCCTCTAGTTAAATCAGACTTGTATGTAAGCTTAGAGAAATTTTAAAAATGTGGTTTTGAAGTTTCTTTATAGTCAAATTTTTTGTTTTTTTCTTTTTGTTTGATTTTTAATTCACGTAAGTAAAGTTAAATGGGAATTCTGGCAAGTTGACCTTTAAAATGTTTATACATTTAACATGTCATTTTGTTATTTTGATGGATAAGTATAAGATTCATGACAGAAAGAAATATGGAATACATATGGTGCTATTAAAAGCTACTGTAATATCTATGTTAAAAGGCAGAAATATTTGTACTGAATATTTTAGCCACCTAAATAGTGTATACACAAATGATAAAGTATACAGAGTGATAAAACAGGAAGAATAAGTGTCAGATTCCTTGTATCAAGTTTAATACTGCTGAATACTTCATTTATCTCAGACTGTTAATAGGCCTGTTAAACCATTGTTTGAACTTTTGCCTTTTTATGAGTTAAAGATAGTTTTTGGGTATTTCTTAAGTCTGAGTATAGAGAATAAGAATCGATTAGTTTAATGTATGAAGTTAAACATTGGCTTATGGGAAGATATAGAGAAAGCTGCAAGAAATACAAGTTAGTTTCTTTTCTTTTTGTAAATGTCGCAGCTTTTTTTAAAATTAGAACTTAAATCTATTTAATGTTGACTCTTTTTTTTTTTTTTTTTTTTTTTGGTTTTTTGAGACAAGGTTTCTCTGTAGCTTTGGTGCCCATACTGGAAGTAGGTCTTGTAGACCAGGCTGGCCTTGAACTCACAGTGATCTGCCTGCCTCTGCCTCCTGAGTGCTGGGATTAAAGGCGTGTGCCACCACCACCAGGCTTGACTCAAATTTTGAAAGCATCCTTCAGAAAACCATTTTAACCTTGTAAATGGTAAATATGTTCTCTAATGCTAAAGGATCAAGTTAGTTATTCTGTTAGATTTTGGAATACAAGATTACAAATTGACAGTACATTACTGTGTTATAGTTCATATGCTGTGTCAGAAGTTGCTGTAGTAAAAATCGAGAAAATGCATTATGATTATTTTATCTCTTGTTTTAGGGGAATTTCTAGAAAAGGTACGACAAAGGAAAAATCGTGACATCACTGTTTTGGACCTAGGATGTGGAAAAGGTGGAGATTTGCTCAAGTGGAGGAAGGGGAGAATTAGCAGGCTGGTGTGTGCTGGTAAGACAGAAACTGACATGGTAAAGAGTGACTCTGGGGACCAGTGAATGGCCCAGTGGGTAAAAGCACTTGCCATGCAGGTCTGACAGCCTGCATTTGATCCCCAGACCCCACTTAAAGGCGGAAGGGAAAATGCCTACTTGTGCTTGGTCTCGCTTTTGCTCACGTACAGTGATAGTAGTGATAACTAAATCACTAATGAGTTCTAAACATCAGAGTTATTTTGGTCGATTAGGTGAATGGGAAATTGGAAGGTTCTCCTTGCCAGCATGATGCTAAGGTATTTTAAGGCTACTCTTCTCGTGTGACCTATGCATATGATAAGTGTTTTGAAATATTAATTATGTTTTTCTGTATGGTTGTTATAGTTGATAGTAACTTGTCCTGGGAAGGACAAATTGTTGTTGAAACACGATGAAATTTCCATCATGGACTGTTTGATAGGCTGCAGGAAGTACAACAGCACTGCCTCCTAAAGTACTGCTCAAATGAGGAGTTTTTATATTTTCTTTACTTTATGCGCCTTGTATACTAAAAATATTACAGAAGAATGAATAATTCTTTGTGGGCTATAGCTGTTGATGTTTGACCATGTTAGAAATCAAGACTGGGGCTGGAGAGATGGCTCAGTGGTTAAGAGCATTGCCTGCTCTTCCAAAGGTCCTGAGTTCAATTCCCAGCAACCACATGATGGCTCACAACCATCTGTAGTGAGGTCTGGTGCCCTCTTCTGGCCTGGAGACATACACACAAACAGAATATTGTATACATAATAAATAAATATAAAAAAAAAGAAATCAAGACTGATTTTTAATTCATACAAAAAAAGTTTAATGGGAATTCTGGCAGGTGTTTCTCTAGCATGTCGTTTTGTTATTTTAGTGACTAAGCAGTTGTAAATGAAAGGTGGTGTTGCCTTTTCAGTAATTGTGATTACTCATTTTGGGTGAACAGTCCACAAGTGGCATCCCTGTAAGGGATGTGGTCTGGTGCCTTACTGACAGATGGTACATCTTCTTCAGACTCATTGATCTGTCTTACATTTTCAGAATGGTTTCATAGTACCTGGAAAATGTTCTTTCCTAAAGTTATGTAGATCTTGTGTGTGATACCAAGAAATACAATTTGTTTAATATTATTACCAGTCCCAAAAGTGGTTGATAAAAGGTTTCTCCCCCTTCTTTCAGAACTAATTTTTTGTTGTTGTTTTTTGTGTTTTCTCCAAAGTCAAATTTTATCTCTGGTAATAAGTACTATGCATTGTGTCCCTTAAAATGACTCTATTGATCTTCAAAAATACATGTATAGTAGAGTTTGATGGTCATTCTTTTAAGTTAAAGTGACTTACTTAAAACACATGACCACTATTAGTTGTACCAGACTTTTTCTTTTGAGCCAACAAAATCATGACAGTGCTGACCTAGCTCAGGCTCATTTCTGGCTGTTTTAACTTACACTAACCTGTTCCTCTTTATCTTCCTTTTTGCTTTGGGACTTTTTACTTTTCTTTCTTCTTTATATCTTACTTTCACTGCTTCTCTTATCTGACTGGCTGGCTGCTGCCTGACTTCTTGCCTGGATTTCCTCATTCTCATCTCTTTTCTTTTTCTTGTTCTTCTTTCAAGCCTAGATTTCTCTTGTTTATTCTCTCCGCCAGCCAGCTCCACGCGTTCCTCTCCTGCCTAGCTTTTTATTTAGACCAGTCAGGTGCCTTAAGCAGGCAAGGTAAAACAAATACAAAACATTTTTACATAATTAAACACACATCCTTACATTGTCAAACAAATGCAGCATAAACAAATATAATACACCTTCACATAGTCAAAGTGATATTCCGCAACAATTAGCTCACAACTCAGAAGAGATATACTAGGTGCTGCTAATAACGAGAAGTTTGCTCCTCACTGTACCACAGTGGTGTTCAGAGATAGGAATTAGATGGCCAAGACAACTTCTTACTGCTTTATGAAGGATATTTTAAATGAAACTGACTTTTCCCACTGGGTGTGATAGTGAAGGGCACAGGACAGACGCAGTGCTGCTGCTTTGCATGTATCATCAAGAACTGTTTTACCCATCATTGTTCTTTCTGTCAGGAGTGCAGATCTCAAAGGAAGGACAAGAACAGAAACATTTCAGTATGAAAACAGTAACTTGGTATTTCACGAAATGAGCTTATAGACGGTGTTAGGTTTTATGTCTGCCTCGTATTTTGAATGAACATTTAAAACCTGGGGCTGGCAAGATTTCTCGGTGCATAAAAGCCCTTACTGCCTAAGCCTGACAACTGAAGTTTGATCCCCAGAACCCATGGTGGAGGGAGAGAACCAATTCCTGAAAGCTATCATATAATGATGATGATAAAATTGGTCATCCTAGCACTTATCTACTGTAAGTACTGTGAAGAAAGTTTCTGCCCTGGAACTAAGGAAGCAAAGCCTTTGTTTAAAGGAACTAGATAGAAACCCTACAGGCATTTCCTTGGCTTGTGCCTGGATTTCATGCCCCAGTTTATCAGTTGAGTTGCTAGTCTGTGTTAACATTTCCTGACACCCTTTACCCTTCTAGATATTGCTGATGTTTCCATGAAACAGTGCCAACAGCGTTATGAAGACATGAAAGGTCGTCGTGATAATGAATCTATTTTTAAGGCAGAATTTATAACTGCTGACTGCTCAAAGGTACAGAATCTTTATTGTTTTAATGTTGAGATTTATTTTTATTTTATATGTATGAGTGTTTGTCTGTGTATGTTTAAGTGCACCATAAGCATGCTTGATACCTATGGAGTCCAGGAGAGGATATCAAATCCCCTGGAACTGGAATTAAAGATAGTTACAAGCTGCCATGTAGGTTTTTGAAATCAAAACTCTATCCTCTACAAGAGCAGCAAGTGCTCTTAACTGCTGAGCCATCTCTGCAGCCTCATCTTTTAAAATTTATTTTCTTCCTAGAGTGCTAGGGATCAGTTGCAGAGCCTTATGCATCCTGCATCTCCCATTTATAAAATCGGCTTGTTTGTTAAAATGTGTTTTGAAACATTAAAAATCTTAAGGCATGCATTTTTGATTTCTACTGGAAATTTATCCTTGGGTACTTTTAGAAACATTTACTTTTAATAATTGGGTATTTGGAATCACTTTGTTTCTTTTTGATTTGGTCAAGATTTGTTTTCTAATAGTCACCCCTTAGTGTCTTAAGGCATTGATTTCAGGAGCCCCAGAGTCCACAGAAGCTCAAAGTCACTTACATAAAATGGCATAGTTTGTTGATGGCTACACATATACTTGTGCATTCTTTAGAAGCGTGTTCAGATGATTTTATTATTGTACCTAATACAGTGAAAATGCTGTGTCACACTGCGTTGTTTAGGAAGAAAGTGTCAAGGGAAAGAAGTCTACCGACTTATTTAAAAAATAAATTTTCTGGGCTTGGAGAGATGACTCACCTGTTAGGAGCACTGAGTGTTCTTCCAAAGGACGCAGGTTCAATTCCCAGCATCCACATGGCAGCTCACAACTGTCTGTAACTCCAGTTCCAGGTGACTCAACAGCTGTGACAAAACATCCAAAGTACATACTATAAAAATTAAAAAAAAAACACAACAAAGAACAATTTGTCTTTTGTATCTTCAATCCATTGTTGACTGAATTCAGTGTTACAGAACCTAAGGATTTGAAGCGCTGCTGTATTTTGCAATAGATCTGGACTTAAGTGTGTTTTATTCAACTTGTTTATAAGGATAGTTTCCTATCATGCTGGAATCGTATGTTTTCTCCCTTCCATTTGTTTCTGAAAGTCCGAATTGAATTGATGTCTCACTGGGGGGGAACTTGATGTTTTTTTTGTCTTTAAGTATTAGGTTTTAAAACATTTAAATTGTACGTGTTTAGTAGTGATTTTGCTTGCAGCCTTGAAAATGAGGAGGAAAAGGAGCATACTGCTCAAATAGTGCCTAGTTAAGCACTGTTTCTTTTAGATGCCAAAGGCTGAATGTTTTTTGATTTTCCTTACCCAAGTTACTGTTGAATGTCAGTTTATTTTACTTCTCAAGACCAACTTAAATGTTATAAAACGTTTTAATTCCTATTATGTGAGTACAGTGTGTGTGCAGGGACGTGTGTGCGTGCATGTGCACATGTGAAGGTGGGGCTTCATTAGTGCCACAGGTGCCACAGGTAAAGCCCTCCTTGTTTGCTTCTGTGCTTTATGTCCTGCTAGTTGGCCTGTTCGCTTCCAGAGGATTTTCTGTGTCCACCTTATCTCATAAGAGGGGTGGGCTGCTGGCATATCCTGATATGCATGTATCCGAAGGACCCAAAGTCAGGTTGTCAGACGTGCAGGGCAAGAACTTTTACCCACCGAGTCATCTCTTTAGGCAGATATACATTTTTAACATGATTTCAGAATCTCCAGATTTTTCAAGCACTATGAAAATCAGAATCAGGATTATTTTATGTGTGTGTGTGTGTGTGTGTGTGTGTGTGTGTGTGTGTTGGGTAGGCGGGTGAGTGCATACTCATAGATGCATGTGTGTGTGTGTGTGTTGGGTAGGCGGGTGAGTGCATACTCATAGATGCATGTGTGTGTGTTGGTCAGGCGTCAACTGTGGGTGTTGCTCTTTGTTTTCTGAGAATTTCTCTCGGGCCTTGATTAAGCTGCCTGCCCAGTGAACCCCTTGCTACTGCTTCTGTCTCCCCACTCTTGGGACTATAAGCACACAACATTGCACCCAGCTTTTTATGTTGCTTCTGGTCCACTAACTCAGAAACTTTAATTGTGTTATCTGCTTATACCTGCAAAATGTTTTAGGCCAGGGTAAGAAAAAACATTTTTTTTTTTTTTTTTAAAAATGATCTTTGTTATAATATGTACATGACAAGAGAAAGAAGAAGTTAAAGATTGGTGAAAACTATTGGTTACTGTCAGGGTTACTGTCAGGTTACTGTCTACCTTAAGAACCCAACATTCTGGCCAGGCGGTGGTGGCGCACGCCTTTAATCCCAGCACTCGGGAGGCAGAGGCAGGCAGATCTCTGTGAGTTCGAGACCAGCCTGGTCTACAAGAGCTAGTTCCAGGACAGGCTCCAAAACCACAGAGAAACCCTGTCTCGAAAAACCAAAAAAAAAAAAAAAAAAAAAAAAAGAACCCAACATTCTGATAATTTGCTAAAAAACACTTTTAATCTATGTTGTATTAGTTTGGAATCTTAACCCATTCACATTTGTTACAGGAACTTTTGGTTGAAAAATTTCATGATCCAGAAATGCGCTTTGACATCTGCAGTTGTCAGTTTGCTTGCCATTACTCCTTTGAGTCCTCAGAGCAAGCTGATATGATGCTCAGAAATGCTTGTGGAAGGCTTATCCCTGGGGGCTATTTTATTGGTACCACCCCCAATAGCTTCGAACTGATGTAAGTAACTTGAATCTAATAAAATTCGTCAGATACCTTTTTAAATTGCATCATGTAGTTTTTCACATGCATGATATTATTGCTAGGATTAAAAATATTAATCACAATTCTTTTATTTTTATTGTGGAATAACCCTAATAGAAAACGCCTAGAAGCTTCAGAAACAGAATCATTTGGAAATGAAATATACACTGTGAAATTCCAGAAGAAAGGAAGTTATCCTTTATTTGGCTGCAAATATGACTTCAACTTGGAAGGTGTTGTGGATGTCCCTGAATTCTTGGTCTATTTTCCATTGCTAACTGAGTAAGAATGTCTTGATCTGTTGCTTTTTCTTTTCCCTCATCACTTATCCTTAGGGGACAACATTAATATTGTATTAATATTAATAATATTCATATTGTATTTGAAATGCAACGCCAAGAAAAAGCCTTAGCTGCAGAATTGGTGTTCACTTTAAATAGATTTCTTTCCTAAGAGGAGAGAGCCAACCGCTTCTACTCAACACAGAAGATAACTGACCCTACAGGGAGCAAACACAACTTTGATGATCTAAAAGATCTTCCCTGTGAAAGAGATTATCAAAAGTGTATTTCAATATAGCGTTGAAACTGCCCAGTGTTACTGTTGTTTGTTTGTTTGTTTGTTTCTCTTTCTGTTTTTTTTTTTTTTTGAGACATAGTCTCTATTATGTAGTTAGTCTTGGCTGTCCTAGAACTTGCTATTAGACCAGGCTGACCTTAACCCTCACAGAGATTTACCTACCTCTGTCTCCATAGGGCTGGGATTAAAGGCATATGCTATCTTGTCCAGCTTCTTACAGTGTTGATTATAAAGTCCCGATTCATAGGTGTAGTCTCCCCATGCACATTAATTCCTAAGAATTCTAGTGAACTGCAAGCACAGGAGAAATTGAAGGAACTGGACTTTTATCATGTGGCTTCAAGACCTTGTCTCATACACACACACACACACACACACACACACACACACACATCTGCAAAAAGCCAATTTAGATGGAGGCTATATTCAGATGACCAAATTTCACTTTGTAGTCTATGGAAACAGACATCTTCTATTTTGAATATTAACCAAGGAAGCAGGACTGTTTTTGCTTACCTAAATTTTGCTGGTTATTATTTTAATCTAGACTCAGTCACCTTTTAAAAGTAAGCATAATGTTTTCATTATGCGCTAGGTTGGCGGTTCATCCATGTAGTCCCACACTCACGAGACTGCTACAGGAGGCCAGCCTGGGCTACAGTGTAAGACTGTTTCAAAAACAAGGAAAGAAAGTAGAGAACTGGGGAAGAAGGGAGGGAAAGAACGACAAAATCAAGTAACGAAGACATGACAAGACATAAAAATAGTGAATACACTGTTGTAAGCAAACAGAATTTAAGATTTTAAATCAATTTGCTTTTTATTTTAAAACCTAATCAGCTTTGGGAAACTGTTTCCTTTCAACTTCATAAAAGAAGAAATTAGAGGTTTTTTTTTTTTAAATCTGTTTTATATTTAAGCTTGGTGTTTATGCTTAACAAAATTAGTAGTTTTAGTAGACCTCCCAAAAATAAAAGTATAAAATGAAATACTATTGTTAAACAAACTCAGCATTGTTTTTTACTTAAATTGCTTGAAGATAATAAACTTAGAAAGTTGTAGATTCTTACTTTATACATAATTATTTTTATCTCATTAAATTTCTTTGAGAGTTTTATGTAAGAGTTACAGTTTTGATGGACTCCATCTCTCCCTCCCTAAATCCACTTCTTCCCATGCTCCTCACACATCCTCAGAATTTATTTTCCTTTTCTATGATGATGTTGATGATGATAGTGATGTTAATCATCGCCACAGAAATGGAACTCACGGCTTCCAGCATTCCATGTAATTGGTACAAAGAAGTGAATAGGTTCTGGGGCAAACCTTAGCATTTAGAAGTTAGGTTAAAGTGGTACACGACTTTAATCCCAGTATTTGGGAGGCAGACAGGTAGTTTGAGGCCAGCCTGTTCTACAAAGTGAGTTCCAGGACAGCTAAACTGTTACACAGAGAAACCTTGTTTTCAAGAAAACCAAATTTAAAAAAAGAAGTTAGGTTAAAGGGAATCCTGTAAAACAATCTGCAAGAAGCCATGCAAGATACAGTTTTGACAAAATAGTTTATTTTGCTAGAGAATACGGGAGATAAAAATGATTGATATAAGAAAGACGCTGGCATTACTGCAGATGTGAGGTGAATAAAGTAGAACTCAAGCTAGAAAAGGGCTCCCTATGGCCTTTGTCCCGTGACCTCTTTATCGCGCTAAAGGAAAACCTGTCTGCAGCTCATGGGTGTATAGGGTGCTTGTTTCTTCATAGGCATCTAGGTTGTTACTCAGCCTTCATTTGTGTTATTCTGCTCAACATAAGTAAATAGTAGCATCTTTAGTTAAGCCCGGATGTCACTGCTGTCATTTTTAAAGTAAACTTTATGAAATTAAAGGACCAGAGAGATGGCTCTTGTTGCCAAGCCTGATGGCCTGAGTTCAGACCCTGAACCCGCGTTGTGGAAGGAGACAGCCTTCTTCACAGAGTACCTCATGTTGTGCTCTGCCCACTACCCACAAGCACACATATGAATTTGATGAAATGCTTTTTTTAAAAAAGAAATTACAAACATTTGAAAACCTTTCTATTATTAATCTTTTTTGGACAGAATGGCAAAGAAGTACAATATGAAACTAATATATAAAAAAACATTTCGGGAGTTCTATGAAGAAAAGATTAAGAACAATGAAAACAAACTGCTCTTAAAACGAATGCAGGCCCTGGAGGTAAGTGTACAGAAAAAGTGTAGAGATTCTAGGATGTGGTGAATGTGTTTGGTATTTTAGACTCCTTTCAATGGTCTTCCCACACTGTGCAGTTAGGTGTGCAGTTTATAGTTGCTGTGGATACTCTGCCTTCAAGGACGAGGGACAGCGAGACCAAGGATAGATCCTGGTTTGGGTGCTTTAGTCCAAAGTAGAGATTTTAAGGGGTTCTTGGTATGTGCAGAAAGTCTTCTGAAGCATACGGCCTTTGGCTGGCCGAGCTTTCAGCACTAGCCCTTTCCCACTCCCATGGTCCTCAGAGGAGGGAGGATGACTGGGAGGCCAAGGGCCAGAACACTAGGATCCCAACAGTCTGATGCCCGTGTCTGCTTTCACTGAGAACTCTCTTGGGAGGCATTTCTGGAAGGGTTACTCCCTTGAGAGGTGCTAGCTTATATGCATTATGTAAAGTTTATTGCTGTTGGGAAGGGCAGTTTTGTTTCTTACCATTTACTTGGGTCATCTGTCAGTAGATGAGGTGTTTGCAGGTACAAACACCATCTCAGGGTGGAGCTGCTAACTTGTAAGGTGCCTGGATCACAGCAGAGTAAAATTCTGAAGCTTTGTGATACGGTGACACTAAAGTCTAGAGATTGAAATCAAAGGAAACTTTTAAAATTGCTTTTGTTCAGATCAGATAAGGAAGTAAAGCTGTGAATGCTAAGGATGTACAGGTCCACAGAGCCGCAGGCTTTCTGCGCATTTCGGTTTCCATTTTTTCATACAAGGTCTTGCTTAGGTCTCGGTCTAGGCAGTGCTTCTGTCTCTTCTGAGTACTGGGCTTATAAGCGCTTGTTACCAGGTACAGCAGCCCAGTATACTCTAAACAGCAAACCAGCAGCTCTGTTTCCAGTATCTGAATATGCAGTAAGATGTTTATAAAGAAAAGGGAAAAGAGGCTCTGGGGGATGGCTCATTTGGGAGACCTGAGTTAGAGCCCCAGAACCTATAAAATAGCTGGACGCTGTTGTGGGCAGAGATGAATGACCTAAACACTGAGCTCCAGAATTGTGCGAGACCCTGTTTCAACAATGAAGATGGGTGATCCATCCAAGGTTGACTTTGGCCACCACCTACGCCTACCCCAAAGGAATGGGGAAGTGAGTAAGTGGACATTTGTGAATCATCCCCATGGAAGTTTCTTAGGCAACCTAGATTTTTAAAGGGGCTACATCCAGCCCAGTTCTTAGAATACTAAAGACAAAAGGCCTGTAGTCTATGATACATTATTGCTTAAAATGATTTAAACATAGCTCTGAAAGTAATTTAGATACTACCTCTTCTGCACAGTTTTTAGATTATAACAGAAAAAGCCCTTTGCCAGAAGTCAAAACGTAAATATTTTCTACTAAATGATCCCTTTGAATATTAAATAATGTAGTTTGTCCAAGCTGTAAATAGTGTAAAATTATAGAAGTTGACCAGCATTTTGGAGATAGTTCCCTCCCCTGCCTTTTTCTCTTAGGTGAAAACTGTATATAGGGTTGGAGAAATGGTTCAGTAGGTCAGAGCACTTGGCATTCTTGCAGAGGATTTGAGTTTGATTCCCAGCACCCACATCAGGTGGCTTGCAACCATCTGTAATTCTAGCCTCAGGGGATCCCCAAGGGCCTTGTGGTCTCTCCGGGTACAGAATCGCTCATGCTTGTGCGCGCATGCACACACACACACAGACACACACACCTTTAAAAGAATAAAAGTATGTGTAGTTGTGAAGCAGTACTTAAGGATTCTTCTTACCATTTCAGTGGTTTACTCTGTTATAAATGTAGCGAGATCTCTTAACTAGAATTTGTGTTTGCTTCCTTAGCCATACCCTGCAAATGATAACTCTAAACTAGCCTCTGAAAAGGTCGGTGACTACGCACATGCTGCCGAGTACATGAAGAACAGTCACGTAAGGTTTCCTCTGGTAAGTTCCCAGCTTTCCGAGTTGGAGAAGGAGCATGAGTGTGTGGAGACAGGGTATTTCACTTGTTCACAATATTTAGGCTTACTGAAGTATTAGAACTTTGGCAAATAATTATGTTTTCCCTAAGTTGTGAAAACTTTTGATGCTGTAGCACGTAAAATGTATTTCAGTGGGTAGCATTGAGAGCTTTTATAAGGCAGCTAATGGTAGGGAAAAATCATAGCCTTGGTTTGCAAGATTCTTTGCTAACTCAGTGTTCCAGAGATAGAATTCCAATTTCCCTGAACTTAAGTGGGAGAATGGGAGAATAGTATATTTTCATTTATATTGACTTTGTGCAGGCTTTCACTTTTAAAAAATTAAATATGTGATAGTAAGAGAAGCCATAACAGTCCCAGTGAAAACTGATGACTTTTTTTAATATTTATTTATTTATTATATATACAATATGCTGTCTGTATATGCCTGCTGGCCAGAAGAGGGCACCAGACCTCATTACAGATGGTTGTGAGCCACCATGTGGTTGCTGGGAATTGAACTCAGGACCTTTGGAAGAGCAGGCAATGCTCTTTACCTCTGAGCCATCTCTCCAGCACCCAAATTGAAGACACATTTCTCTTAACATCTTAGAATATTCTTTTCTTGATATTTCTTCAATCTTACTAGGTCCTAGAACTGACACTGGATCTTAGGAAGTCAGTGGCTCGAGCTAAGCTGCGATACCTTATTGTATTGAAATTATTGTTTTGTTTTTGTTTTTTTGGCAAGTGTAATTTATTTTGTGATGCATACTTTGTGGTTCTTTTGGTAAAACTCAGTATTTTTCATCTTTAAGCTACAGGCTTATGGTAGGTGTTTATTTCAACAGCAACTCAGCAGTGAGACTCATTTTCAAAAAGAAATGACTGGTTTTTTTTTTTTTTGCTAAAACATTTGCTACTTCCCAGTACCATGAATCTGTATAAACTGAGACTATGTCTTTAGTTTTTTCAGAAAGTTGATCTTACTTATTGTTTTTAGATGTTTATATCATAATGTTACTTACGTGCATTGTGTATGTTTTTATAGTGAAGTTAGGGGATTTTGCCACCTGTCTTCTATTAAAAATAAACTTGCTTTGAATCTAAAGTTTCCTTTCTTTTATAATTTTAGGGAACCTTAAGTAAGTCAGAATGGGAAGCTACAAGTGAGTATATCATCCAGCTACCTAGCAATTTCAATGATTCTGTTTTAAGGGAATCGTTAAAACTTGAAAATGTTAAGAGTTTTTCTGATATATTTTGTGTTTATGCTGATACACGTGTCATATATATATACATATATGTATGTATGTATGTATGTATAATTTTCCATTAGTACATCTGCTTAGTGACAAATGAAAATACCTGGAGGCTGTTATTTAATAGACTTCCATGAGCATTCATAAATATTTCCTTTACATATTTATTAATAAGCAGCTGCCTCTGTTTTCACCTCGGGGTCTGTTGAATTGTTTGGCTTATAGGATATTCCCATGGAGTTACTTTTTGGCCATTCATATGGCGACAGCAGAGGGGAATAATACAGAGCACTAAGCAAAGCAGAGTAAGCAGGGCTGATAGGGAACATGTGTTTGGAAACAGGTGTTACACAGATACATCCTGACATGAGGCTGGTGACTCAGCGGATCCTGCAAGGTCCTGGGCTTCTGCAGCAGAGTGATGTAGTCCTCTACATCAGCTTGCAGATCCTTAATGTTAAGATAAAAGGATTCTGATCTTTTATCTTGGGAACTTGAGCACAGTTTCTGCTGTCCATTTAATTGTTTGTTGATTATCTTGAAGGCAGAAGTAGGAAGTGGAGACACACTATTTAGTAAACACTGAATGTTGACTCACAGAATTATATGAAAGGACTTCAGGGGATTAAAACACAGACAAGTCTACCTTCTAGAGTTTAGTGGAAGAAACAAACTCAAATACTATACTGTCAGACAATTTAAATGCTGAAGAGAGGAAAGTAGATGGGGATTTTAAAGGTAGATCTGTCTGAGAAGTAATATTAATTATTATTGAGTGTTGAGTAGTATCTGAAGCTGCTGTAAACATTTCATCTGTTGTAATTCACTTAATCCCCCAAACATATGAGTTGACTATTATGTCATCACAGGAGAAGGCATTTTAAAGTTTGGGCTTAATGACAGAACTAATCTGATTGACTGAGTTCCCATTCTCATAATCATTACCTCATCGAAGTCCTTACTATGAGCAAGATTTCAGAAATTTTGAGTTTCAAATTGTGTATCTGAAATCAAATTCTAGTGTTCTTAGTGTTGTTAAATGGCTAAGTAGATTTTTGTTTTGAAATATACTTAAATGATTCTTTATTTACCCCAAAACCACTCAAGTAATAGAACTCAGAAAATAAATGATGTTTTTCTTTCTCAGTCTGCTTGAAAATGTTTTTTCTGATGGTAGGAATAACTAAACTCTAACTTCGCTTACTTCTTTTCTAGGTATCTACTTGGTCTTTGCCTTTGAGAAGCAGCCGTGAGCAGTTAGTCGCCTCCGAGCAGCACTCCATCCTTACAGATGGAACAGACCATCTCAGATACATTTGACAGCTGTTTGTTTATTTACTAGTAAGTTCTCAATGTGTAGGATGCTGCCAACAAGTCCAGTGTATAGATTTGACACTGTCTGTGACAGGTTAGCATTGTGTGTGTGTGTGTGTGTGTGTGTGTGTGTGTGTATACATAAGAATGCTTTGTCTTTAAGATCTATTTTTGTGTAATAGTCTAAGAATTGGTTCCCTGTGCTATGGAAACTATAACAAAGCATGTCAGAGCACCTGACCTCTCCCCAGTGCTGTGATTGCTGAGTGTGTTTACAGAGTTGATTTTACAACAGCTGTAGACTTGTCAAAGGAGTGCCAGCTTGCCACCGTGCACTCCAAGTTTTGTTACAGTGTTTTTCGGTATGAAATGGATTGTGTTCTCTACATTTGAATGTAAGTGTTCAATTATATATTGCTAAAGTTATAAGATTAAAACTTGATTTTAGATTGTTATTAAGAGCTACCTGGCTAGATTTTGACTGTGTTTCAATAAAATAACTGTTTGCTTATACTATGAAATTCTGAGACTCTATAGAAGATTTTAGATGGCAGCATAGAGATATTGTGGGATGGTTTGGTATTCTATTAAAAATTTCCTACCGTAGAAATTAATATATCCAATTATTGAGATTAATTAAGGTACTTTTAACTTTCTTCATTGGACAATGAAGAAATGGTTAGATTTTCTTAAGATTTGTGAAAATGCCATGTCATAGTCCTGTTACATATTTTCTTCAGTGCATGTATGCAAGTGCAAGCAGGAGGTGTGCCGTGAGGGAAGGAGGTAGACTTCAGATGGATCCTCACCAATAGGAGACCTCAGTTAGATGTGTGCATCTTTCCCAATCCCAAACAAGCAAGCCACGCTCTTTTCTTCCACCATTGGTATTCACACAGCAGAGCCCACTGTCTGATTGTCATTCAGACATGCTTTTGTTGAGGCATATATCGTATAGAGGTTGGCATGGCTGCCTTCCAAGTATTTACTTGCTCTCTCACAACCAATAAAATTGTCATTAAGTTGTCAATTGTAGAATTGACTTTTAGAACTGATGCCTGTGTGAACTGCTATTGTATATTTAAGAAATTTGACAGCCTTTAGATACATCAAGAAACTTGAAAGCAAATAGAATTATATTTTCTTTTAAAAATCATGTATTTAAAGGACACTTTACAAAGATCATTCTTTCTATAAAAATCTATAGTACTTGCTTTAAAAGTAAGCTTTGGGCTGGAGAGATGGCTCAGCAGTTAAAGAGTTCTGACTGCTCTTGTAGAAGACCCATATTCAGTTACCAGCACCCACATGGCAGCTTATAACTGTCTCTAACTCCAGTTTTTGGGGCTCTGACACCGGTTTTGGTCTCCATGGGTACCAGGCATGCACATAGTGCATATACATACATGCAGGCAGAATACTCATACATACAAAATAAAAATAATTATTAAAAAATTAAAAGCATAATCAGTTTATATATTGCCACTGCTCATAGTATTAGAGAGTACATTTTGTGCAGGGTTTGGGGTGTGGGAATGAAAGTTCTTGCTCTTAGAAATTTAGGCTCATTTTATCCCTGGGGAAGACACTACTAAGTATTTTGATAGCTTAGCAGGTTGGGAAAGCTTTGTCACAATTCATGATTTTAGTTAATAGGTAATTCATCAATTTTTAGTCTCTTTCTGTCCTTTCCTTTCCATTCCATTCCATGGGTTGTTTTTAGGAGAGAAGAATTCCTCAAAGGGTGGAGTTATTGATGGCTATCCGAAGCAACAAGAAGAGAAATGTGGAGTTCCTAGGCCCTTTGCTGAGGAATCATAGAGAACTGGACTGGGTCTGAGATGGGCTCTAGTTGTTATACCTACTGTCATAGACATAGGAGATTCCCATGAGGCCACTCTGCAGGAAACAGTTCAAGCAGCTGCCTTTTTCTTTTTGTGTTGTTTTTATCTGTTCAGCCTCAATCCCTACACTGCTCCTTGCTGAAGTTAAATGACTCAAGATGAATTCTTGAGGACAAGAATGGGAAGGTGGCATTTGCCACTGTTTTATCAACAAATGAGACTTTTTTTTTTTCCCAGCAGACTTGGAACCTACATGCTTAATTTTGTCAGGATTTGTAGTACCTCATGAGAAAGGCATGACTTTTCATTACAGAATCCAGGAAGAGTCCCTTATTTCGGGCTCAGTGGTGGGAATGGTTCAGAGGAACTGTTCAGACACTCCCAAGCTTGCCACACAGGTGTCCTCCAAGGTTGAGTTTCAGAATGAAGATGAGTGGCTGGAGACATGACTCAGAGTTTAAGAATGCTTGCTACTCTTTCAGAGGACTGGAGTTTGGTTCCCAGCATACACATCAGGTGGCCCCACAACTGTTTAATTCCAGCTGCAGGGACTTCCAACACTCTCTTCTGGGTTCTGCTGGCACCTGCACACATGCACAGACGTGCACACACATAAAATAAAATAAATCTTTAGAAATGAAGATCATGTGGGCCTGAGAATGACACAACTTGAACTGGAGATAGTTGGCTTGGGGACAAATCTGCATTGTAGTAGGACCCGATGCTGACATGGAATTATTTGGGTCTAGAATTTACTTGGGGAAGCACTCTCATGTATACAGTGTTTATGGAGAGAAATTGAGGAGTTGTCAGTCTCTACCAATCCTCTGGTGGCTTAACCTATCCAGAGAGCCTCAAGCCTGCTGGAGCTGACTCATGCACCTCTTCAGTGCCCCTGAGCTCCTCACAGACTGACTCTCGGTAAGAGAAGAGTCACTTACGCGTGATGACTGAATGCCAGAGAGAGGATACAGACTTTCTCAAGACCAAAGCATAACATACATACTCACTTCCAAGGGTGGAACAGGTGAGTCCTACAGCCTGGGTTGTTAGTTATTGAGGCATTTAGGTGTGTTAATTCCTCAGTAAGGTGCCCCAGTAAATAGGGTGCCTGGTAGGAAACAGACTAGCTCATCTTCACAGTGTGGAGACCTGGTCTTCTAACCAGACTTGTGGGATCTATATACACTGCAGGTGATGGTGTTCCTCCAGCTTTACTGTGTGGATGTATCAGTACCAGAGTCTCTAAGAGAAGATACAGAAATGATGCTTTAGTGTCAGTTAAATACGTAGACCTAATTTTGTGGATTTGCTTGTTTAACCTCTGTTGAAGTGTTATATCTATACAGGCAGCCGGATTCCTCACAGAACATGCATGAATTCATAAGCCAGAAGCTGGAGCCTCCCTTCCACTCACTGCTGTCCCATTCACAACCACCATCCGGTTCTAAGCAAAAATCTTGTTTCATCTGGCTTGGAATATGTGAATGAAATTAAAACTACATTCTTTAGCTTTCACTTGTCAGTGTTGATGAGATTCTTATTCTCAACAGTTGTGCATTGTTCTCACGATTGTACAGTATTCCCTTGTGTGAATAAACAACATTATCCAATGGTGTTTTGGTTCATTTCTAACTTGGGAACTGTACTACCACGTTACCTAGCAAATGGGTTTTTGTGCACATAGCTATATATTTCCTACTACGAATAAGATTGCAAAGCTGTAATACATGCACCAAATTCATATTTACAGCTATCAAGAAGCTTTCCAGAGTTCAGTTACCCTACATTCTTTTTTATTTTCGAGACAGGGTTTCTCTGTCCTGTCCTGGAACTAGCTCTTGTAGACCAGGCTGGCCTTGAACTCACAGAGATCCCGCCTGCCTCTGCCTCCCTAGTGCTGGGATTAAAGGCGTGCGCCACCACCACCCGGCTTCTACCTTACATTCTTGATAATACCAGCTGTGGTTTGGATGAGAACAGAGGTCAAATATATGTTTGAATACTTGGTCCCTAGTTAGTGGAGCTGTTTGGAAATGGTTAGAGGTGTGGCCTTGGAGGATGTGTGTCACTAAAGAAAAGACCTAAATTAATAAAATTAGAGGTATAAAGGAAGTGTTATAAAAGACACCCATGAAATCCAGAGGGTTTTAAGGATACACTTCAAAGCCCATATTCTACTAAATTGGAGAAGCTGAGAGAAATGGATGAATTTCTTAATGAATCTGACCTACCAAAGTTAAACCAAGAAGATATTTTTTAAAAATGATAAGAAATGACATTGGAACATCATTTAAAAACCTCCCATCTAAAACAAAAGCAAGGTAGAAGCCCAAGTCCAAATGGGTTTACCACAGGACTTTACAGGAAGTTCAAAGAGCTAAAACCAATGCTCCTCAAACTGCTCCATAAAACAAAAAAGGAAATTATACTTCCAATTATTTTTATCAACACAAAGACCCAGATACCTAAACTAGATAAATGTATAGAAGAAAGTTCTAGAACAAGCTCCTTCATGAACACAGATAGAAAAATTCTCAGTAGAATGTGTGTGAACTGAATTTTAGAACACTTCCAAAAGGATAAATCATCTTCATCCCAGAGATGTGGGAATTATTTAACACATATAAGTCAACAAATGTACTCCATTACATAAGTAGACTCAAGGACAGAAATCACATGATCATCTCAGATGGAGAAAAGAGCATTGGGAAAATCTAGGATTCCCTTAGGGGTTCTGGAGAGTCCAGGGATACAAAGAATATAATAAAGGCAAAATTCACAAGCCCACAGGCAACAGCATGCTAAATATAGGATACAAAGAACAAAAATTACTAGTTTTCCTAGATACCAATGACAAACACTAAGAAGTAAACCAGGGAAGCAATTCTGTTCACAATAGCTACTCTCAACTCCGTATCTTGGGATAGAGTTTATCACAGAAGTGAAAGACTAGTATATTCCCCAGGGAATGGACTAATATTAAAATCAAACCAAACAAATCCACAAATGACACCAAGTGGTAGTGTGGACGTGAGGTAAGGGGAATATTCACTGTTGGGAGCAAAAACTTCAGTCACTATGGAAACTAGTATGGATGTCTCTCCAACATTAAAGTAGATTATATGACCCAATAATAGTCCTGGGTATATACCCAATGAGTCTATATAGTGATATTTACTCACCATGGATTGGTGTTGTTCTGTTTACAATAGCCAGGAAATGAGTACATCCCAGACGTCAGTCTGCTAGTGAATAATGAAAATGTGATAAATACGTACAATGGAATTTTATTTAGCTTTAATGAAAATGAAATGATGAAAATTGCAGGTTGCCGGGCGGTGGTGGCGCACGCCTTTAATCCCAGCACTTGGGAGGCAGAGGCAGGCGATCTCTGTGAGTTCGAGACCAGCCTGGTCTACAAGAGCTAGTTCCAGGATAGGCTCCAAAACCACAGAGAAACCCTGTTTCGAAAAACCAAAATAAATAAATAAATAAATAAAATAGACAAGTAATAGAACATGGAGAAATCAAGCCAGTATCCACCTGGAAGCTTCATCTATATGGGCTAGCTTTCATAGGGTGGTGAGGAGTGCATCACTACTGGTGGAGAAAAGTAATCAACATTTTTATCCATGGAGAGGCCTGCAAGCTATGATAATAACCAGCTTGGCAAACTATGTCCTTTGGTACAGTAGTGGCATAGATATTATAGGAGTAAAGCAATCACTTTCTGATTGAATATAAAGCCTAATCCACAAGACAGAACTCATGCCTGGTAATAATGTTAACTGTGTCAAGAACCCCTCGCTTAGTAGATTATAAGCCCTACTATGACCTGCTTTTAATAGCCTACTAAATAGATATAGTATCAAACTGCCCTCTAAATACTTATATTTATCACTATAAATACAGGGATGGTTCATTATATGTAAATAAATATATAATATACTATATAAATGGACTCAAAGACAAATCACTTGATTATCTTAGAATAGATGCAGATAAGACTTTTGAAAAAAAAACCCAACATTTTTGTAGTAAAATGTCTGAAGATACTAAGAATACAAAGAAACTAGCTCAATATAATAAACGGTATATATGACAAACTTATAGTTAGCATCGTATTAAATGGGAAAAACTTTAAAGAATTTCTACTAAAATCAAGACCAAGAGTAACTGCTTTTCTCCACACTTATTTCATACAATACTTGAGACTTCAGCTAAACCAGCACGATAAGGACATAAAAAGGATGCAGATAGAAAAGGGAGAAATAAAATTATCCTGTTTGCAAACTTTTGTATGTAAGAGATCCTAACGAATCTGGATCCAGAAAGAAAACAGCAAAGTGGCCGAATGCAAAATTAACATCAAGCCAGCAGCCTTCCTGTACACCAGTAACAAACGTATCAAAAGGAAACCTGGGACACGGTCCCTTTCAAAACAGAAAACAACAAAAACAAATCCCTTGAAATACACCTGTACGAGGAAGCCCTGTGTAAAGAAACATTTCTAACACTGAAGAAAAGAATTGAAGATTCTGGAAGATGGAAGGACCTCATATGCTCATGGATCAGCACATTGTGAAATGGCTATAATATCAAAATGAATGCACAGATTCATTGCGATTTCCATCAAATTTTCAATAATATGCTTCACAGAATTACAGCGAGAGAGAGAGAGAGAGAGAGAGAGAGAGAGAGAGAGAGAGAGAGAGGTGTATGTGAGTAGCAGGCATACCGGTGAGCCACTTTGTCCCAGAAAAACAAAGAACAGAGCAGATCAGGTCCTTGGAGCTGGGCAGAATTTTAAATCAGTGACTTAGAGGAAGAGAGACGGAGAGGAAAAAGAGAATCATTCTCTGGGGGGGAAAAAAAATCCATCTGTGTGCCCCTAGAGGAAAAGATTTGTCACCCTGGAAGCACTGCAGAGCTAAGGGTTGTGGTGAACCACTAGGTGGCACTGTAAACACGACTCCTAAGCTGCCGTGCTGGTGGCAGCAAGTTGCTGGAGACCTGAACCCAATAGGCCAGAAAGGCGGCCAGCTGGGCGGGCGGAGGTGGTTTAAAGGCAGACTGGTGAGGAGCTAGGTTAGGTTGGGAGGAGACTGCGTCCTGGGGATGGCCTGGCTTTCTTGCCGAAGTCGGTCCAGGTGGACACCAAGAGCTCACGCAGAGTGAAGCATCCAGTGAGGGCACCTGGCCGGGATGCAAGGCCAGAGCCCGGGAAACAGACACAACTCTCTTTCCCAGAATCCGCCTGGAAAAAGTGAGGAATCGTGCTCACCTTTACATGGAGGAGAGCAGAATGGGTAAGCCAGTTTGTGCAGCGAGATCGTGAGGCAGCTGGATGTGATGTTTAAAGCCACAGGAGGATGGGTCTATACCTTTGAGGTGCGAACGTATTGTAAATGATTGCAACCCAATAGGCTTACCTTATTGTTAATACAACGGCTCTCTGAGGCTGCCTTGTTCTAACATTTCCCAGTTATTTCTTCACACTGTGCTTATGTGGGACATTAAAATTAGCAGTCAGACCCAATGAAATTCAGATTTTTCAGAGTTTAAAGAAAATATTTAACTCTGAAGAAAAGTACTGTTGTTTTTCTCTCTTTAACATACTGTGAAGGAAGCTTATGCATTGGAGGTAGCAACTCCGTGCTTATTCTCAAGCTCAGCCACCACTGCTGCAACCCTGGAAGAGTATGCGTTGGGATTTTGAGGAGAGGTCTGGTTAGTGATAAGAACACAGGTACATCTGTCCTTCTCAAGGGAATGTTTGTATGTTCTTCAGAAATCTGGGCTCACTCGAGCAAAATATGATGCAGTAGCCCCAGTAATGTGAAAATCTGGAGACTGGCTAGGACCTTTATGGAGTTTGATAGAGTTCATGGATATGCTCTGAGAGGGAACTTGCGGGGGCAAGAAATCAGACATGGAAAGAGAGGCTGTCCTTGGCATAGAAATGGAAGCTATTCCTGTAACCCGAGAGTGACAGACTATGAGTAAATGGAAGAGGCATGGGAAAACATTAAGCTGTGTGTATGAGAGGGACAGAATTCCAGGTACCAGGAGCACAAGTCAGAACGAGGCAAAACGGGGTCTGGTTTTCAATATGTTGTGTCTAAGCACTCATTTCGGCATGCCTGGACCTGCTCTTGGCGTGCGAGCATGACCTGTGTTGGTGTGCACTCCTATGTTCTCAAAACCATAATAACACAACAACGAACAAATCTGCCTTACAGTACATCTGATGCCAAGACCTGGAGGCATTTTCTTCCAGCCATGAACTCCTCGTTTCAACTGCATTTCTTGAATCTTACCCCGAATGCCACAGAGGACAACCTTTTAGGACCAAATGTCAAGAACGCGTCTTCAGCCTGTGAGGACATGGGCATCGCTGTGGAGGTGTTCCTGACTCTGGGGCTCGTCAGTCTCTTGGAGAACATCCTGGTCATTGGGGCCATAGTGAAAAACAAAAACCTGCACTCTCCTATGTACTATTTTGTGGGCAGTTTAGCAGTCGCTGACATGCTGGTGAGCATATCCAACGCCTGGGAGACCATCACCATGTACTTGATAAACAATAAGCTCCTGGTGATAACGGACACCTTCACACGTCACCTTGACA